CACCATAGTTTTTCTTCTCTTCCTGTTCTCCATGAGGTGGAAAGGCCTGGCGAGGGGCGGCCCACTAGAGCAGGAATATTTACTAAAGATTTCTAAAGTCGCAGAGCAAGAGAAAAAGGCAGGTAAAAGAGGTTCTGGGTCTGCACTATGCAAAGAAAATGCATGGACAGCATGGGGGGTGGAGTGTGGGAGAGAAGTGAGCAGACTTAAAAATGAATCTGTTCCTTACACCATACACAAAAATTAGTTCAAAATGGATTACACACCTAATTGTAAGTACTAAAACTGAGAGTTTGGGACGCCTGGGTGGCTCAGTTGGTTAAATGTCTGCCTTTGGCTCAGGTCATGATTTCAGGGTCCTGGGACAGAGCCCTGAATCAGGTTCCCCATACCCCAGGCTCTCTCTCTCCATAAATCAATAAAATCTTTAAAAAACCAACCAAACAGGGGCGCCTGGGTGGCTCAGTGGGTTAAGCTGCTGCCTTCGGCTCAGGTCATGATCTCAGGGTCCTGGGATCGAGTCCCACATCGGGCTCTCTGCTCAGCAGGGAGCCTGCTTCCCTCTCTCTCTCGCTCTGCCTGCCTCTCTGTCTACTTGTGATCTCTCTCTGTCAAATAAATAAATAAAATCTAAAAAAAAAAAAAACAAACCAAACAAACAAACAAAAACAACAAAAAACTAGGGCACGTGGGTGGCTCAGTTGGTTAAGCATCTGACAGCTCAGGTCATGATCCTGGAGTCCTGGGATTGAGTCCCGCATAGGATTCCCTGCTCAGAGGGGAGTCTGCTTTTCCCTCTGACCTTCCCCCCTCTCCTGATCACTCTCTCTCTTATTCTCTTTCAAATAAATAAATAAAATCTTTAAAAAGCAAAAACTATGAGAGTTTTTCTTAGAAGAAAATACAGGAGTAAATTTTCATGACCTTGCGTGAGGAAAGTCTTCTTAGATATGACACCAAAAAAGCAAGCAAACAAAGAAAATACACAAATTGGACTTTGTCAAAATTAGAAGCTGAGCTTCAAAAGATACCATCAAGAAAATGTAAAAGATAATCCAAAAAATGGGAGAAAATACTTACAAATCATATCTCATAAGGGACTTGTACCTAAAATACACAAAGAACTCATAAATCAAGGAGTGCCTGGGTGGCTCAGTCAGTTAAGCATCTGCCTTCAGTTCAGGTCATGATTTCAGGGTCCAGGGATCAAGCCCTGCATCACACTCCCAGCCTCCCTGCTCAGCGGGGAGTCTGCTTCTCCACCTCCTTCTCCTTCTACCCTTCACCCTGCCCCTTCCATCCGTGCTCAAGCTCTCTCTCTCTAAAAAAGAACTCTTGTAACTCAATAATGAAAAGTCAACCCAATTAAAAATGAGCAAAAAATGTTTTAAAAAAATTGGACAAAGATCTTGACAGACATTTCTATGACGAAAATATATAAATGACCGGAGCGCCTGGGTGGCTCAGTCCGTTGAGCATCAGCCTTTGCCTCAGGTCATGATCTGTAGGTCCTGGGACTGAGCCCCATGTGTGGCTCCCTGCTCCACAGGAAGCCTGCTTCTCCTACCTCTGTCCTACCCCCTGCTCGTGCTCTCGCTCTCAATCAAATAAATAAATACATTTTTTTAAAAAGAAAATATATAAATGGCCAATAAACACATGAAAAGGTACTCAAAACCATTTGTTATCAAGGAAACACAAATCATAACCACAAGGAGGTAACACTTCGCACCCACTAGGGAGGCTATGACAAAGACAGACAATTCCAAGTGTTGACAAGGATGTGGAGAAAATGGAACCTGGTGTTTATCCTGGTGTTAGCCATACTTCAGTCCCATTTTCTAGCCATCTGTCCCTCTAGCCAACATTCACCGTGTACCTACTCTATGGTAGTCATTGTGCTAGGGGCATAAGCATGGAACCAGCGCCCTGCTGCTGGTGGAAATGTACAATAGTGTAGTTACTTTGAAGAACAGTCGAGCAGGTTCCTATTGGTTAAATACAGTCACTGCCAGCTGCTCCTAATCCTTGTGATCACCTGATCGAAGGTTCATACATACCTGGTTCCTAACCCCGCCAACAGGTCAGCAAGCCAGGTCTGCCTCCTCTGGTCTCCACACCCCTCTCAGAGGCAATCTCTTCTCTAACTCCAGAGCCCCTAAACTGTATTTCATCCACTAAAACACTGGTGTTCTCTCTTTACTAGTTCTCCCCTGACAGATCTAAAGTCGTCGTCTTCTTCTTCTTCTTCTTCTTTTTTTTAGTTTTATTTGTTTAAGTAAGCTCTACACCCGACATGGGGCTCAAACTCACCACCCAGAGACCAAGAGCCGCGTGCTACTCTAACTGAGCCAGCCAGGCGCCCCGACCCAAAGTCTTCTGACTTTTTCGCCTGTTTCCTGCAGTCTCCCTCCACAAAGTCCACCAGCTGCACCTCTTGGCCACAAGAGGAGCTCCTGGGACGACACTGTGGTCAGTCAACCATGTCAGGAGAGTCACTGACTTCTGCCCTCCATAAAAACATATCCATCTGCCATCAGCCATAGACTATCATGCCCTAAACACCTAAAGGTGTGAGAAACGAAAGAATCAAAAAAATGTGCTATCTGAAGCCTCAGACTGCAAAAAAGTGGCAAAAGTGGGCTTCTGAGAGAAGGCAACCTCCCAGGAAGGCTGCCGATACACCAAGAACTATGTAGTCCTGACCCCCTTGAGAACTGCAAGATTTTATACCACTCTTCTTTCAGGGACATGCCTCCATTTCCCAAATGGGGGACCCTAAAGTACCAGACCTTACACCAAGCCCCGATGAAGCACTAACACTTGGGGCCAACTGAGCTGTGTCCAGGGAGCGGTGCCTGTGCCTGTCCCCCGAGGCGCTCACACATCATGCCCCAAACCGTGGGTCTTGCTTAACGTTAACGCCTCTTCGGCTAGCCCTCAAACTTTTCTTCAAGTTAGCAAAGAGAGAGGGTGACAGCCTAACCCAAGAAAGACTCCCAGATGCCTATCCATCTCCATGCAGAGGCCCTTATCTGGGCAGGTTCACCGCCCGCCTATCAGAACACCCACCATCACACACACTCCCAGGAGCCCGCAAGCACAGGCACACACACCCGAGCGTACATAACAAGACCATCATCCCCACTACCATGGCACCTGGCTGAGAAACGGACTAGGGAACAGGAGGCACAGAAAGCAACACCTGCCATTCAAGCACCACCACTGAATCACACAGCCCGCAGTCCCAGACTGTGAGCTGCCTCTTCTGCTGTGGGCATGGGGGAGCTAATCCTCCAGCTGGGGCCTCCATTTCTCCGTGTATAGAATCAGTGACCTGAGGTAGTTAGTGGCAATATTCCAAGGCAGGAGCTGTAAGATTCTCCACCAATTCTCTATATAGACAGGATGCTTTCTAGTGAGAAGCAGGAGGCAGGACAAAATCAAGGATTGACTTCCAGGCAGGGATACAAGGTCCACATTTTGATGACCTGGTTTCCCTCGAAATGTTGTCAGATGACCCTTGAGGCAGCAGGAAGCAGAAAAAACAAAGTCTACTGGACTACTGCCCCAAAGCCGCTTCCAGGGGTCTGGGCACTAAACCCATGCTACTCCCTTACCCTGGCCAGGACTCTCACCTGAGGGAGGTTCCTGAAAACAGTAACCTGTCCGAGACCAAAACACCAACAAAGACCTCACCATAAACGTGCACTTTTCCGTATTAGATTGAAGCTCTTAACACTCTGGCTCAGACTAAGGTTCATCGATCTCCAGCCAACCCTCTCCAGAGGTTTGCTCCTCTACAAAGGAAAACAAAAAGCCTTGCTGGCCTCAGGCCCCTCTGTTATCATTTGATCTCGTGGGCTATTTCAAATGCTCTGAAAAGTCAGGGTGCCTGACGAACTGATATTCACAGGCAACCCAAGCCAATAGTTTCATCTTCCTCATTCCAAACTTGTAGTTGGTGAAGTTGGGTGTTTCAGGTCCTTTTACTTCCTCTCATCATTCCTGGTGTAGGGACTCACAGTGCAAATGGTCAGAAGGCAAGGAACAAGTGGTTGAAAAAGAAAAAAGAAAGACCCTAAACAAACAGGGCACAAAGTCCTCCAGCTTAAGCACCAAAGCTGGGCTCCAAATTCCTGATAGGACAATCTCAAAGCACCCCAAGGGTCCAGGGGGACCACCCTCTCATCCTAACCTCTGACCATTATCACACCTTTCACGACTTTACAACAGAAAGCTCAATAAAAGAGAAGTCAGCGTCTTTGAGATGAACACCATAGGAGAATGTAGGAAGGCACATTATTTCTACCATGAATAGTCTTCCTTATAATCAGGCCTCACCTTCTCTCAAATGGTTACATTCTCTCTTCTCCCTAACCGAGGAAGACCCTGGTAAAGTATGTCTGTGGTTCAAGGAAGCCTGTGCTTCTCCAGTTGATACATCTTGTTCATGAAGAAGAAAAGGAAACCCAGGGAGGATTTCCATAGGCAGGGGTGAGGAGGTCTGGAGGATGGGAAACTTTAAGCAGTCGCACCAACCAAATAACCAGAAATAGAGGAATATTCAGGCAGGCCAAGGCCACTTGCCCTGTCAACTGGACAGGGAGCTGGCAGCCGGTTGAAGGAACAAGGGGGGAAACACATGCAACAAACAGGGAGAGGGGATGAGAGCGATTCTGCCGCACCCAGGCCTTCCCCCTGCGCTCCAGGGACTGCCCGAAGCGGGCAAGCCCGACGCAGGAAGCCCGACCAGAGGGGCTGGAGGAGAGGGAGGGGGCGTCGGCATACCACCGTCGGAGACACCAGGCCTCGCTTGGCGTGCGGGGAGTGCACACCCGGCCGGGACGGCGTGCAAGGGTGGGGTGGGCGTGCAAGTGGCTTGGCGAGAGGCTGCGGGAGTCCTCAGCAGGACCCGCGGGGTGAGGGCCGGGCCTGCGGGGGGGCGTGGGAGCGCGCGGGGCCGCGCTCCGAGGGGCGCGCGCGGGGGAGCTGGTTACCGTGTGGTTCACCCCCCACATCAGGACGCTGAGGATCGGCTCGCTGGCCCGGAATAGCTTCACTTTCTGGCACACGAAATGCTTCTTCTTGGTCTTGGTCTTGCTGGCGCTGAGTGGCGCCACCGCCACCGCCGTGGTGCTGGTGCAGTTGGACGACATGCCCGGGGCGGCGGCGGCGGCGGCGGCGGCGAAAGGGGGGGGGCGGCCGAGACGGCGCACAAGCCAGCGGCCCCAGGCCTCCCCGGGACCGATCCCCACCCCCGCTCCCTCAACGCGCCATGGTCGCGCCCGTCCCGTTACCTCCCCACCCCGCCCCGGTGGTTCCGTCCGCCCCACGCCCCGCCCCCACGCCCCGCCCCGCCCCGCTCCAGCGAGCCGGCCGGCTCGCTCCGAACCCCGCCCCCGAGCGCCGCAGCCACCGCCCGGCCGTCACCAGGCGCTCTCCTCCCCGCCCAGGTGGTAGCGTCCGTCCCGGGGAGGTAGCGGCCGCCCTTCCCGCCCCTCCTCCCCGGGCCTGACAGGAACCGGGCTGGCCTCAGGACAACTCAGAGTCCCGCACCGGAACGGAAAGGGGAGGTGGGCTGGGGGTAGGGCTCGCCGTCCACCGCGGGAGGGTCCCTCTGTCCGCCCCCTCCCAAAGCCAGGGTTTGGCTCTTCCCCTCAACCTGACGTGCCAAGATGGCGGCGGCGCCCAGGCTCCAAAGGGGAGGAGGGGCGGGAATGCGAGGAGGGTGGGACGTACCATCCCATCCCGGGGGAGAGAGGAGGAACCCAGCGAAGGGAAAAGGAAGTCCTGCCGGGAAAACCAAGGAACGCCCCCTCGCTCCACCCAAGTGTGGATCTTCCCACTCCCCTGGGCCTGGCGCGGGCTCCACCCACGGGTCACGCCCCTTTCCTCCGGGGCCAATGAGAGCCGCGGGCCCGGAGCCCTGGGTTTTATGAATGGGCCCCGCACCCACCCAGCTGCCGATTGGCCTCTTCCCTTCAAAGGGTCGAGTTAAGAGACCTGCGGCACCTTAAGACACCTATCCTGCAGCAGAAAATTGTAATCGTCTTATTCTCTGGCACACTTCACGACATCTGTGAGTGAACTGCCCACGCTTTGTTATGTAATTCCTCTCGGAAGAAGGATCTCCAAAGATTCGACACAAATTGCGGGTCAGTATTGTTCTGTATGGGAATTCGTAAATTGAGTACTCAGCACGTGGTTGTTCTTTAAACAATTACAAAAATAAATGTAGCCTTTATTACCAAGTAATAAAATAAAAGACATAATTAGCATAGAGAAGCAGGATGAGGTGATTAAATGAATAACAAGTGTGTGTTACTTTATCTCTGGGGAGAGACTGGGTTTTAAGTATTACAGTGCCTGGCATCTAAGTGCACATATATATAAACCCAAATTCGTTTTAAGCAGAATTAGGAATTAGCAGAACAAGGAACTAGCCCCGCTAATAAGTGGGTCAAGAGGGCCTGAGGAGTTCATGGGTCAAATGAGGGCTTCTGGTAAAAACAGAAAAGGGAAAGGAGTAAAGGCAGGAGACTGGTTCCATAAGTTTTGGGGGTTTTTAATACCTGACTAAAAAATAGTAGCAAACTCCTGGAAATACAGAATTGTAATAAGATTACTACATGATTAAAAGGAAGCCATGAAATAAAACAGCTTCCATTTTATTTTAAGAGCCAGGGTCGGAGCACACTGGTAATTTGGTCCTAACTCCTAAAATCATTTGACTTCACGGCTGCACTGCCCACATGGGAGCCTGTAAGCAGTGTAACAGGAGAGATCCCCTGGATTCTATCTACAAACCCAGGCTCCTCCTAAACTAGCTGGATTCAGAGGGGAAAAAAAGCTGACTTGCATTACTGTATTACTCGGTAACAAGATACAATATGGTTCCATTATATAGTAAAGTCACTTACCAAACAAGATGTTCTCACAAAGCTAACTTTTTTAAAAAGCATGTAAAAATTATACATTTGTACACATACACACTATACTTTTTACAGTTCAAAAGACAGTCCAAATAGTTCAACAGCTCATTTAGTGCTTTTTTGGATTGTGTCCCCTTCCAGATTCTTTCTCTCTCCTTGGCTCTCTCTTTGTCTCTCCTCAGCCCTAAGCTGACAGCATTCTGTCACATGATCTACTAAAACAAGAAAGATGTTCATTTATCCCACCAAGCACAGTCTATCTGGGCAACTCTGGAGAGAGGTTTCTGCAAGGTCTGGTCTACACTGAGGCACACAGTTCCCACAGCGGGGAAGAAAGTGGCATAAGAAGTATCATGACCACAGGAAACAGCCTTCCAGAGCAGGGTGAGTACTCACACCTAGAGTGTCCAGTGCTCACCCATTAAAACCTACAAGACACTCAGCAAAAGTTACTGAGTGTCCCATAAAGTGCGTTGCACTGGTTCTCAAAGGAAGTAAGCTGTTTCAGGAATCACCGGAAGAGAGTCACTTTGAACAGTGGTGCTTTGACAACTGTGCAAGAAGTCACTTGAACTCTTATAAAGAGAATTTTTAAGGGATCAACAGCCTCCCTGGAAAATTCAGGAAAGCCAGCAAGAGAGGGGATAGCTTTCATCTTTTCATAAAGTTCTTCTCCAGAGCTATTGAGGTTCTCTGTAGAGAGTAGATGTTCCGTTTCACCCTATCCTCCAGGGAGGAGGAAGATGCACTCTCCAGCTTCATGCGGCTAGGAAGACAGGAGAATATCTGTGAGTAACATATTTGTCAAGTGGTCACCTATCTGGCAGACTTAGAAGAAACAGGTTGCCAACCACAAAGCAGATGTAGAAACCTAAGCTCTTTTAAGCTCATATAGGTAACTTTGGAGTGGACTCCAATTGGAACTCAATTTTTTTAAACCAATGTCCAACAGGGAAAAGTTATCTGTTTTGAAAAACCAGGTAAAGCCTCATTGGAAAAAGGCCTCTTGAGCCATGAATTCTTACTTAAATGGAAAGCAAGGAGATTCAATGAAAATACCAATTCACTTCTCCTTCCTTCAAATCAGAAATACCCCACTGTCTAGCTAGATGCTGGGAGTAGTAACAAAGGAGGCCTGGAGGCTGATCTTCCCATTCTCACTGCACAGATACCGAAAGACCAGGAACACAATGAATGAATCCGCTGCCCAGTTGCCTCCTTGGGACCACAGCCATGAAAGCCATCAGGCAGCAAGAAGATGCACTCACTGGGGGCGCCTGGATGGCTCAGTGGGTTAAAGCCTCTGCCTTCAGCTCAAGTCATGATCCCAGGGTCCTGGGATCAAGCTGTGCATCGGGCTCTCTGCTCAGCGGGGGGCCTGCTTCCTCCTCTCTTTCTGCCTGCCTCTCTGCCTGCTTGTGATCTCTGTCTGTCAAATAAATAAATAAAATCTTAAAAAAAAAAAAAGAAGAAGAAGATGCACTCACTGGATAAACTTCCCATCCCTGGAGCCCAGCTTCTCCAGCCTCTGCTCCCGTTCGTCATCCTTGGCGTGCCTCTTGAGGATGGTCAGCCTCTCTTCCTCCCGCCACTTGGCATTTTCCATCATCTCTTGACGTTTTCGCTCTAGTTCCTCCGATGAGAGCTTTCTGTTGAACACAAAAACCATCCTATCAGGTCTACTTCTCTCCCAGCAAGAACACCCATACACTACAGGGACAACAAATTAGGTAGGACCCCAGGCTCTCCACCGCCCTGCTCTCTCTATGGAAATGCTCAACCCAGGGCCACCCTCAGCACGAGTCTCCTTCTTTCCTAATACCTTGGGCAGGTGGTTTCATCCAAATTTCAAAGACTTTCATACTCTCTCTCAGTAATCTCTGGAGTGGTATTTCTAAACATAAAATACAAAATATTCCGATTGTTTGCTCAACAACTTATTGAAGAACACAGGACTAAGTTAGCCATGTGACTGCTGACATCTACCATCTACCTACTGGAAATGCTTAGAAATCCATGGACATAGCCCAGGAATACACCACTTTAGGAGTAGGTTAGAATGCAGATGCCAGAAGAATTCAAGTCAATTCAACTTAATCTCAGAGAGTAGATAAGTCTTCTTTCCTGACTCATGGCAAATGAAGTCAGATAAAGAAGAGGAGGTGGTGAACCAGCTCAATCACTATTTAACAAGGTCAGAAATTCAAATCCATTGATTCTCAAATGGATGTGATAAGCCCATTTAAAAGATCCCCTTTTAAGAGGAAAAATACTTGGTGGAGTCTCATTAGGGAGTGGAGCTCAATTTTGAGACAGAACCTTAAGACACTAAAACTTAACATTTAGTTGTCTATAGTGAAATGACAATGCTTCATTTAAAAAAACCCATTAAATAGGGACGCCTGGGTGGCTCAGTTGGTTAAGCAGCTGCCTTCGGCTCAGGTCATGATCCCAGCGTCCTGGGATCGAGTCCCGCATCGGGCTCCTTGCTTGGCGGGGAGCCTGCTTCTCCCTCTGCCTCTGCCTGCCATTCTGTCTGCCTGTGCTCGCTCTCTCTCTCTCTCTGACAAATAAATAAATAAAATCTTTAAAAAAAAAAAAAAAACAAAAACAAAAACCCATTAAATAAAATATATAAAACCACAAAGAGAATGGGAGAAGAGAGGACATTGGATAAGAGATGTCTAAAAATTGTTGGAGAGGCGCCTGGGTGGCTCAGTGGGTTAAAGCCTCTGCCTTCAGCTCAGGTCATGATCTCAGGGTCCTGGGATAGAGCCCCACATCAGGCTCTCTGCTCAGCAAGGAGCCTGCTTCCCCCCCCCCCCCGCTGCCTCTCTGCCTACTTGTTTTCTCTGTTTGAAATAAATTTAAAACTCTTTAAAAAAAAAAAATTGTCGGAAGAGGGAAGCAGATGAAGGGGTAGCAACTACTTTTCAGAGATTAGAGTAAACTCAGCCTCTTTAAGTGCCCAATACTAATCAGAAGCAAAATCCAGGAAAGGTTCAGAGACTGCGGCACCAAGTAGCAGATGGAGGTAAAGCTGAAAATAAAGGAACTGATTTAAAGTCTATATGAGGAGCAATCAAGACACTCTGGGTCCTCATGCTTAACTTGGGGAAGCCAGTGATTATTCTCCCAAACAATGACAGGAGATCCTCCAGAAAGGAGACCCTTCTGGTAATTTCTGAAGAACTAAGCCAAACAGGAAATCAGGAGTTGCAGGCACATCGGGCACAGCAAAGGAAGCTGGCCGGGCCACCAGGGGTGAAAAGAATGTCTCCCAAATTGCCAGAAGCCAGAGTCAGAGCCATTGGTCAGGGAGCCAGAGGGTTTTTTCCTTCTATAGAAAAAAAAAAAAAAAAAAATTTTTTTTTTAA